AAATTTCTCTAATAGCAGAAAAGGGTATCATTAAGCCACTTAAAGCGATTAACATTAGCAATCGTAGCAATTTCACGATCTATATGTGCAAATTATAAATGAGGAAGCGATCCTTCACATGCCAGGATTACTTGTTGACAATCCTCAGGTCGTGTTAGAGCATTAGGGAACACTGAGCTACCCATGGGAGTGTCCCAACCACCACTTGGCAAAGGACAATAATTACTCAAAGTGGAGCCGTAACTATATCCATCGCAAAAGCACAAGTTTAACGGGAAATTCCCTGTTTCTCATACTGAGAAACGAAATTTGTTTCTCATGGGGGCATTTTTATGAATAAATCAACAACTTTTCCATTATTGTGGGATCTACAATTGAAAAAAGTTGTTGGTTTATTTACAAAAATGACATGTGAGATACAAATTTTGTTTCTCACTATGAGAAACTGGGGCATCCCTAGGTTTAACCGTTGAATCTATAAGCGATGGGTTCAAGAGATACAGGGGCCTGCTGTCCCAAATGCCTTTTCATGTGGGCAGTGACCATTATTTGGTGAGGAACAACATCCTCCCCAAGATAAGGTAGAGGTGAATGACCTGGTCAACGCTGCGTTGGTTTGCAAGGACTGGGCTTTGGAAGTTAGGGCTATCTATCCACGCCCTGAGTTTAAAGGCCACCTGGAGAGCTCAGAGATGAAAAGGTTAACGCCAACATCCCTAGCGATGATGACTTTTAACTTGCTACACAATGAATATATATTCCTGTACATATATTTAGGCCTATTATATTTTGTAATGAACACTCACAGTCAACAGATATGTTCTTGAAGTGTTCTTTTTTGTTTGTATAAATTTAAACATTTTAATCAAGTAATTTGGATGCTTTTGCATCAATCCTAGCATTTATCAACTCAATACTTCATGAAATTGCCTAGAGTTTTAATTTTTACGGTTTTAAAACGCCATCAACCATACAAATTAAGGGCATATGTTACATCCAAATTTAAAATTTTGTTAAATTTGAGGGGGCATATGTTACATCCAAATTTAAAATTTTGTTAAATTTGACTTTTTAAGGAAAGTTGACCAAAGGATTGACCCGATGTAGGACGTTTGACTTCAAAATACTTAAGAGTCAAGCGATGTATGGATCGTTATCTTAAATGGATGATGAATGTATTATCAGGCCCTATCAAGCAGCCAACAATCAAGGAAGGAAAAGGCCTTTAGCGAGTTAGAGGTAAATTCAAAAGAGATTGTTGGCGCCAAGAAGAAAAAACCGTCTTAACAGTTGAAAGGAGATTATGGACAGATTTTCAAGAGGCTTACGCCTATAAATAGAGGAAGAAAGGACATCAATGAATCAGGCAACAAATGAATTTCATTTTCTTTAAGATTTGTTTAGCGCTTTTATAGTTTTTCCTTGGCTTAGTAGCCAAGTGATAGTTTAGATTACCTAACATGTATTGAATATCGTTCGATAATTTCAATTGTATGATTATGGAGGTAATTCTTCCTTCTTATAGTACAATTACAGCCTTGAATTTATCCTTTAATTGGTGGAAGTGTTGTATCGTCAATGTTAGTTTGTTTGTTTCTTTAGATATAATAATTCAACTCTTGTTTAACATCTTCAAGGATAACTTCCTTACTTGTTTGTTGTGTTAGGTTGGCGAGATTATCAAATTATAACCAGTAACAGTAGGGGCAGCCCCTTAATATCCTAGAACAAGATAAGGTTTTTAACATGTTGGTAAAGAACAATATTTACCTCAACAATCACATAAATTGAGGTAATTCTTAGCATGCAAAACGAGATATTTTCAATATTATATATTTTACAATTACTACCTCAAACCGAACCAAAGGTCAAAAATGACCCCCGAAATCTTAATAAAGCAATTTTTAACATGAAAATCCATGTTTTATATATTAAAAAATGGAAATTACTATTAAGAGGATGTGAAATCTAACATTTTGCGTTTTTGTGGATAGCTAGGTTTTATAAAAGGAAATTTTGAATTTTAACACCATAAAAACAACTTAAAATGGATTTTAACTCTAAAATAAAAAAATAAAAAAATAAAAACTTTTATTTTAATACCACATAAAAAATTAAAATTTTGAAATTACCACTAATTGACGGTTTCCGTAACATAAAATGTTCGTAGGGCCCACCTTTTCTTTTTACCTCCAATTTTCAACCTGGTAATTATGATTCTTCTTCCCTCTTTGATTACCCACTAACCTTCTTCATTCAATTCACTTTGAATACCTTCATCTACCCAAAAAAATCTTCAACCATTTGAAGATATTATCACATCTAACCTAAATTGTGGGGTTGAGGAGTGGATTTCAGAGGAGAGGTGTCAACTTTGTACGAAAACAACTCACAAAGTATCGTCAGCCATTTTCATCAAACAAAAAGTTCAAAAGTTGTTGGGATACTAACAAAGACAGGCAAAGATTCCAAAGAAGTTTTTTTATCCTTTTGTAGTATTTTGTTTTTATTTGTGGGGTTTAATTGATGTCAAAGTTGCAAATTAATGATGAAATTTGGGCTAATTTTGGTAACTGGGCAAAAATCTTAAAATATTGAAATTAGGATTGACTGTGCGACTTAGGTTTTCAAGAATATTTACTACCTTCATTTCATATTTTTTGCAACTTTGGAATATTTTATACTTCACAAATAATACCCTAAAGTTGCAAAAAATATATGAAATGGAGGTAGTAATTGAAATTAATGATTAATTAAAGTGGGTGATTGCTTAGTTGGTGTATTTATTATTTATTTTACATGTTGAATTGGCTGCATTTTATATTGTAGTTTGTCTCAGAATTAAGTGTTTTTTTGTTACACAATAATGTTGGAAATAGTGCTTGAGGCTGTGAAATTGGAGATATAATATGCTTAATTTGATATGTTTAAGATGGTATTTCAATTGTTAAATGGCTATTAACTTGTACACTGTTTTTTACTGGTTTTACGGTTGGTAGAAAATGGACAACAACAGTATTAATGATACGGTTGATATTTGTCTATGAGTGGGGGTGATTTTGTGCCTCAAAAAGTTAGCAAAAATAACCAATTGTTTGTTTGGTGTGGTGGGTGGTGTTATTGGAGGATAAATGTGAAGGTATCTAAGTTGGATGTTCATTTGATAGGAGATGTTGATGTCCATGGTTTTGTTAAGTATAATATGCTTGTGCCAATGTATTACAACATTTAGTACAAACAAAGGGGTAAAACTTTTAACACGCGTAAAAGGAAAATAGTCAACAGTGAGGAAGTAAAGGGGCTTTTAGAGACAGTCAATGCAAAAGGTTATGTGGAAGTGTTTGTCACAGTAGCAGAGTCTATTAGGCCCAACCTTGAGCAGGCCCAATCTACTCAACAGAGGCCCACCAAAAAGGGAAAGAAGAGTGCAAGTACAATAGTTCTGCCTCTTAGGAAGAGCCCTAGGTTTTAGAAACCAGAAAATGAAGTCTTTGAAAGGGAAGACATTCCATAACCTAAAACCATACATCTTACAAAAAAAAGGAAAGGAAAAAATAGATAGGTTTGAAATATATGCATCATCTGGTAGTGGAAAGGGGCAGGGGAAGGCAATGGGGAAAGGGAAAGCTTTGTTGTTGTTTGAGGATGAGCATGAAGATGATGGGAGTGCATCTAAGTACTCGAGTACTAATTTCAGTTATGATGATTTGAATTGGGAACCTGGAGGAGAGGAATTTGATGAAGGTGATGAATAGTGGTTTATTCAAGCATAAGAGAGATTCTGGGCAAGGTGAATAAAAGTCTGAAAAAGGGTCTTGGGAGTGAAATAGATCAGGGGATAGTGAAAGATCATAGGTCACAATTGAAAATGAGGAGTTGGACATAGGTTTGATTAAGTCAAAGGAAGAGAATGAGGATGATTTTGATGAGTCCAGAACTTCAGGTGGTTCTGATGATGAAGATGAATATGCTCCATGGTTTAATGCAATTGTTGACTTCACCAAACCTATTCAGTTGAAGTTCAATAATGCTTAAATTATGAAAAAGGCTTTGAGGGTGCATGTTATTGAAAACATGTATGAGTTTTACCTTACTACTTGCATAATGACAAGACTAAGATCATAGTTGAGTGTAGGTATAGATGTGATTGTAAGTTTAATAGCTACACTTGTAGGATGTCTATGTGCACTTGTGTAGTGGGAGTGAAGTGTTATAATAAGGTTCATGATAGGAAATTGCAAAAGCGACAAACTTGGCAAATTAAAAGCTTGAAATTAAAACACAACTGCATGAGGACCAAGAATGCCAAGACCTGTAAACTTCCTTCTGTACCAGATTTTGACATGCCAAAGTCAGCAGGGAGACCACCTTTCAACACTCCTTGGATGGAAGAGCAGAGGAAGGTGAAAGAGCAAAAGGCAACAAAAAAGGTATTGGGTTTAATTGTTGTTAGTGTCATTACTTTTGTCAATTTAATATTCAAACCTAGTCAATAGTTGTATTATACTTGTCACAGAGTGCAAAAGGGGCCGGACCAAACAACATTGCTAACAAAAAATTTCCCTAAGAACAACCAAGTTGTATTCCCCTAAGCAAACAGCCAACTCAGTCATCTCAACAGTCAGCAAAGCCAAAGTCTAAGGCCAAAATTTAGACCAAGACTCCTTCAAGTCAACCATCAACAAGTACAACACCAACTGGAGTGGTTACCAGGGCAAAGCTTCAAACTTACAAGATTAATCTAACTCATTAATGTACTAATAAATTTAGTTGCTAGACAATATTTTTAGTTTTTGTAAGGCTGTGGTTGACTCTTAACTTAGTATGAACAGTAGTAGGATAACTTAGTCTTTTTGAACAATTTCAACAGCACTACTTTTAACAACTAAACCATGATTCTCATTCATTTATGTTTGAATGCAAAGTGTTGTTTATATATAAAAGACTTGTTTATATTACTTAAATTACCACTTCAAACATTTCATTGTTCAGAGCAAATTAAAAAAAAAAAAAAAAAAAAAAAAAAAAAAAAAAAAAAAATAGTACAAACATAACCAATCCTTAAATTCATTACAACTTAGGACAACTTAGCAGATTCATCAGTTCACTAAACACCCCTAAGTATAACACAAAGTCCACCCATTGCTATAGCAACACAAATGTTTATGGTAACCCAAACAACACAATTCAGGGAGGACATCTTTCCTTGCTTGAATTCTCTATTCATTTTCTTCTTGTCAGCATTTAAGGCCTTGCACACACCTCATCTTAGATTGTCAACTTCATTAAGCAAACACTTCCTTTGGGAAATGATTTCATCAACTTCCCTTCTCGATTCATTACCTTCACCCTTGAGCAGCTTCTTATCCAACAACAAATTGTTGATAATATCTGTTGATCAACCCATTCAAACATCTTGCGGCCCCTTAGTTATTGGATCAAAAAACTTGCAAGATCTAAACTTCCGCCTTGGGTTCTCCCTAGTCCAGCTAGTCAGCTTTGACAATGAAACACCACATTGGCATTTTTTGTCCTTTGAAGGAGAAGAGCTAATATATGACATAACCTACATTAATTTCAATTCACATCCAAAATCACTTTCACCCTGTATACAAACTAATTAACATTCTACACAAGTAATTTTATTATAATTACTTATTACAAAATTCCCCAATTCAAAATTGTGATGAACCCTAATTTTGTAATTGGGCAAATTGAGTAGTAAATCTCTTAATTAATCCATCAATTCGATATAATAAAAAGAAAATTTACTAGACCTAGTGAATTTATCATCTAATAAACAAAAAAAAGGATTTTAATTTGTGCTAAAAATTGTGAACTTTCGTACTTAGTTATGTACATACATACCTTATAGCAGCTTCAATCTCTTGCTCTTTGCTGTAATCGTGCAATTCCCTTTATGAATTCGATTCGCTAAAATTCAACATTCTAAAGTATCAAATTAATTGTGAAGGGGCGGAAGATGGGGATTATCGTGACCATTTAAAAGGAAATCAAAAAATTATCTGTTTGAGTGGGCCTTAGTAACTGTTTTGTTAATGGAACTTGGCTTTAGGTGGTAATTTCAAATTTTAATTTTTCATATGGTGTTAAAATAAAAGTTTTTTTTATAGTGTCCTTTTTTGTGGTGTTAAAATTCAAAATTTCCTTCATAAAATAAACAAAAAAACGGATGGTTAAATCAAAATAAGGTGTTTTGATGAGTGGTAAAGTATAATTTTTTTTTTCCTAATTTATATCTTATGTCCATCCTATTCTTAAGTCCAAATCTTCCCTAATCTACTCTACATTTTAAAAATATTCTTGAATCTTCAAATAATTTCCACACTAAAGGTAAAGTATGAAATTTTAATCTCTTTCCTCTTTCTTTTCCTTTTTCTTTTCTTTTTTCCTTCTTTCCTTACCTTTTTATGACATTGGTCAAGCCAAAAGAGATTCTCAGATATGGCAAACTATGGTACGTAAATCTCGCGTAATAGCCGCCCTAGTTGATATTAAAATTTAAACTAAAGACAATCACGACTTTATTTAAATTTAATAAACTATAAGATATTAATGACTAACATATATACTGATAAATGTGTTAAGTCAAAGGGAGTGAGTATGATAAACATAACCTTGGAATTAATATAACACGACTTTTTACACCTATTCAATTTCACTTTCGTCAAACTATTCCCACCCCTAACTGGTCATAAGGCCCAAATTTAACATCAAAACAACAATTGTTGACTTAAATAATGTTTCATACTACTATGTTTGACAATTCAATCATAGGCGTCATGGCTTGCAAATTTCCAATAATACGATCATAATATTATTTCTTTAAGCTGGCTAAATGACGGAATACATAAACCATTATTGGAATCTAAGCATGTGAAAATGTGAACTTTGACTATTATTTTTCATTAATCTATTTTTGTACTACACATAATTTTTTTTTTTTTTTTTTTTTTTTATTTTATTTTTTTTGGTTGTGAGAGGATCATCAAGAAGGACCTCAACCACGACAGGTTTCTTCTTATTAGAGGATCATCACTTAAGAAATGAAAATAATACGAAGGATCATCATCATTTACGGTTTGTTTAGGTAGCTAAGTGAAATGGAAAGGGTAGGGAGGAAAGATAAAGGAAGGAGAAAGTGGTGTTATATTTTCCATCCGAATCTTTCTAACATTGAAAGGTTTTGTTTTATCATATAAAGGGGGATAAATGAATCCTTTCATTTCTCTTCCCTTTCATTTGCTCTTAGGCTCCTACGTACCAAATGATATTTAAACAAGGGAGGATGGAACCCTCCCACCCCACCCCACCCTACCCTTATCCTTTTTTTTTCCTCTCTTCATTTCCCTCCAATTTTATCTATCCAAACAAAGGGTTAAGAAAATGAAGAATACAAACCATTTCTCTCTTTATTACTACTTTCTCACTCATGCACATGAAACTTTAGTAAATAAAACCTTACTAATGAACAATTAAAATGTTTTTTTTTTTGGACGGGATGCACAATTAAAATGTAACATTTAATTTCTTAATCATTATCTAATACGTTTTGACTTATGCATTATTCACCCATTCTCCCCTAACAATTTTTTGTAATAGGTTTTCTCATAATTGTCTCAATGCTTAATTTCAAAATATCAAATTTTATAATTTTCAATTAACAATAAATAATAATATTAATGATTAGAGCTTTGAAGGTATATATTAACAAACATGATTATGAACGCATGTCACCAACTTAAATGAAATGGAGGAGATAGTAATTGAATTTTACAAGAATTGAGGTATGAAACTACCTTCATTTAATAATTTTCTTAACATTTACTATTTCAAGATCTTCAATTACAGATATATACCTTAATTTTACTTTTCATTTTTGTCATAATAATAATTACAAAATTCATCCCTTATCGATGATCAAAAAGATTGTTATTCCTCTCTCTTATTATGTACTTATTTTTCAATATACTCTTCTACCCAATCACATACTCTCTTCTATTTTTTTTTTTTCAAAACGTGTTAACGTGGGTGTCTAATTAAAAATGTATTCTTAGAGTAAATTAGCCCTTAAATTAATAAAGCTAATTAAATAAGTAGCTGCTGAATGACTTTGGGTCATGACTCAATGCATTTTCATTGGCATAAAATTGATAATTTATTATATATTTTTTGTCATGACATGAAATGTCAGAATGATTGAATAATGGGAGGTATCATATTTTTTTTCAAATCATTATTTTTATTTGAATCCTATAATTAGTCATAAAAAATTACTCTTTTAGTAAACAATATATCAAATTACTTATGTAAATTAATCTCTTAGTCAAAGCTAAAAGTCAACAAATGACACACACAATAAAAGAGTATGTCATATGGTAGAAAACACCTACAATTCTACAAAGGTAGTTAAGAGACGCAAGTCTTTTGCACCATCTAAGATCTGCATTTATAAATATGCGAATCTTAACATAAACTTATTACCTCAAAAAGTCGTACTATCATATAAGGTAGCTACTAGCTAGGCTATCATATTAAACTTGATTAAGTCATATTTTACTATCATATATATAAGGTAGACTATCATATTGGTGGTAGCAACTCGATTGAGCAATCGATGATGGAGGTTGAGAAGAACGAGAACTTTAAGAACGACAACATTCTTAAGGATGAAAATAGTCTAAAGAATGAAAAAGCTCTTAACGATTGGCTTCCGATCACGGCCAGTCGGAAGGGGAAATGGTGGTATGCTGCCACTCATAATGTTACTAGTATGGTTGGTGCTGGTATTCTTGGTTTACCTTATGCTATGTCTCAACTTGGATGGTATGTACACTTTTTTTTTTTCATTTTTTTTCCAAGTTTATTTATGTAGGTTTCTTATCAAATAACAATCTATTTAAAAGTTTGATAAAGTAGTCATATATTGTTTTTTTAATTATAGAGTTAAATCTTGTTAACATTTGCATTAAAGTGGAAAATTATAAAAAGGTGGTTTTGGCCTTACATGGTTACATCACCAACTTATTATTAATCTTTTACCGTGATTTAATTTATTCTTAAACGAAACTTGGTAACATGATATTGTAGTTGCCTATTTATTTATATATTTTTGGGATGTAATTCCATCCATATATTTGAAGGTTATTGACTTAATTTTTTTTTTTAATGAGATGATCACCCATATAAACACGAAAACTTATTGAGGTGGAGAGTTGAATTTAAAGAAGTATTAATCTGATTATAAAATGATTAAATAAGTTGATGTAATATAACTGAGAATAATTTTAATTAATTATTTAAATTTCATTAAGGTTATTAAAAGTTGGGAATATATTTGGGAAGGATTCACCCTGTCTGCTTTTGTTATTTAGAATCAAATTATATCGTTCAATTCTGATAGTTAGTTTCCATACAACTCGCTCGGTGATCTAATCTAAAGTGTTGTGGATCATCTAAGTGTTGACCTGCATGGGGCAATCTGTAAATGACAATAGCTTCGCATCACAGTGTACATTTGTATGATGTGGACATCCAAAAAATTAAAATCATCGATTTACATCATTACCCTTGTGACTCTCTCTAAAACAATATGATGAGAAATGATTTAATGTATTTCAGGGGTGCGGGTGTGACAATCTTAGTAATGTCATGGGTGGTAACGTTATACACACTATGGCAAATGGTGGAAATGCATGAGATGATACCAGGAAAGAGGTTTGATAGGTATCATGAGTTGGGGCAATACGCATTTGGGGATAAATTGGGATTATGGCTTGTTGTGCCGCAACAATTGATAGTTCAGGCGGGTTGTGACATTGTTTACATGGTTACAGGAGGGACTTCACTCCAGAAGTTCTATAATATTGTTTCTCCGCATGGAAAACCCATCAAGCTCACTTACTTCATTATGATCTTCGCCTCCGTTCAGTTCTTCCTTTCTAATCTACCTAACTTTAACTCCATCACTGGTGTCTCCTTTGCTGCCGCGGTTATGTCTCTCAGGTAAGTTTTCGTGCCCTTTAAATTTTGTTGTGTATATTAGTATATCATATTCCATGTATAGAAAAGTTTTAGAATCTTGCATTGATTTATAATCTCTTTTATTATCTATAGTTATATAATCCATGAATGCATATTTGTTGGACTTCTTGTATAAATCAAATACTGACTTTAACTTCTCTAAAATCTTTTTTGAATATTTTATTCCTACTCTTTCATTTGCTATTTATTTCTACATGATACTTGACATTATTGGCTAATTTTATAAACATTACTCCCTAGGTTTTTTTTTTTTTTCGATGGTTACATTTTTTTTGTTATTCGATGAAATCACTTAATAGGACAACATAGCCATATTTTTGGAAGAAAAGTACTCTATAATAAAATAATACATCTTATGTTATTTAGTTGAAGTTTTTTTATATCACATTTATCAACATACAAATTCAACTCTAAATATATCTGTAATTAGCAACAAAGAAACATTACAAACAATTGATATTATAAAAATCTAAATTGAAACTATAACAAAAGTTAGTCAAAATAAAGTTTGTAAGCAAATATCAAAACGTATTAACTAAAGAAGTAAAGGAAATATAAATCATATATTTCAAACAAGAAAAAGTAAAAGAGTAAACCATTATCTTGAATAGCTAAATATAGTAAGCCTTACTATTATTTCAACACGGAAAAAATATATACTCCCTCCGTGTTTTAATAAGTGTTACATTTTAACCGACACATAGTTTTAGGCAATTTAATTAACTTAAATAAAATAAGAGGTAAGTGGGGTAGTTAAAGTATTAAAAAATTATAAAAGAAAGATAATGAGATTAATAGTTTATTGAAAAGTAATGATTGTGAGATGAAATATATAATAAAAAAAAGTATTAGTGGATTTAGGTGGAGACTATGAGAGAAGAGATATATAATATTTAAATGTAGTTTTTTGTTATAAAAGAAAATGTAACATTTATTAAAATACGGATAGAGTAAATACTGTCAAACTGATATGAGAAAGTGATTTGTATTGATTTCAGTTATTCTGCCATTGCTTGGATAGCTTCATTAATAAAGGGTGTACAACCAGACACAAGTTATGACAGTAGGTACAACACTCATGCAGGAGAAGTATTTGGATTTTTAAGTGGGTTAGGAACGGTTGCTTTCGCTTTTTCTGGTCACAATGTCGTGTTGGAGATCCAGGCAACAATTCCTTCTACCCCGGAAAAACCTTCCAAAAAACCTATGTGGAAAGGATCTCTGCTCGCTTATATTGTTGTTGCATTATGTTATTTTCCCGTAGCTTTTGTTGGATACCTTGTGTTTGGCAAACTCGTTAACGATAACATTTTGATCTCACTTCAAAAGCCTAGTTGGCTCATTGCTACCGCCAATATCTTTGTTGTTATTCATGTTATTGGAAGTTATCAGGTAAGTCAAAGTTATTATGTAGTTTTATTTAATTCTTGCTTCGAATGAGTCATAAAATTTATGAAACAATTTCTATATTAGGTCTTTGCAATGCCGGTTTTTGACATGATGGAAACTTTCCTTGTGATGAAAATGAAATTCAAACCTAGTAGCACGCTTCGTCTTATCACTCGTTCTACATATGTTGGTAAGTAGTTTTTTTAATTATTTATTTAAAATTTGATGGTTTGACATTCCTATCCTTATAGTGATCTTTTAAAAAAAAGTTAAAAGAAAAAATGATATTGCATCATATTTATTAATTAAATTATAATTTGTAAATTATTAATTATTGGTGTGTGGTGATCTTGTTAGATTTTTCTCTTATCTTAACTATCCTAAGCGCTTGATTGTGAATTATTTGTATGATCTTTTATGTAGGTTTTACAATGTTCGTGGGAATTGCATTCCCATTCTTTGGTTCCCTTCTAAGTGTGTTGGGGGGAATCGCTTTTGCACCCACTTCCTATTACGTAAGTCTCTATTATTAATACATAGATCATATACGTGAACTGTACTTGTCTAATATTAACGTTAATTTTATTTAATGCAGTTACCATGCATAATATGGCTAATAATATGCAAACCCAAAAGATACAGTTTATCCTGGTATTGTAACTGGGTAAGTTTACTTCAAAGTTTATTTTGATTCTACAAAATTTTGTTCTTCCTTCTTCTACTTTAAGCCTAATAAGCTATGTTTTTTCCATTGCAGTTCTCCATCATTTTTGGTGCTTCGTTAACGATTTTAGCCCCTATCGGAGCTGTGAGGGATATCATAGTTCAATCTAGTACCTACAAATTTTTCTCTTAATCACTTTTATATTTTACTACCCAGAAATGTTACAACTTAATAGCG